CAAATGGTATCGCAAGTTGATGATGCATTGTCAGAAAATCTTCGAGAATTTTGATATCCTCTTTATTGAGTGTAGGAGGTATGAATTGAATTCTACCTTTTGCAGGTTAAATTTGTTAAGCCGCCTTAGGTCTTAATAATTCATCCAATAGTTTTCTAAATGAGACGTTTTTCAAGTATCTCATATTATCCACTTTGCGTCCACTTGGCAAAATACGGATTGGCTCAGGTCAAAAAAAAATAAAAGTGGACCCCTTGTATTTAGCAAGAAAATCAGCCATTTCGTTGCTTTCATGTTCTGCTTGTACCTAAGTTTATTCCATACATAATGGTTCGGAACATCTGAAGTATATGGGCTTACCTCTGGTATCAGTTGTTGAAATCTTTTTGTATCAAGCAATTTATTAAACAATGATAAGACTCAACGATGTGCAGTCAAATCAAGTCACATTTTATTAAGAAAAATCTAGAAATTGTATGGGGATTCCCCGTTAAGATATCAGTTTTATATGTTAAGATTTCATTTGACAGGTCACCGCCGCTTAAGGAACCTACTAAAAGATTCAATGTCCAATTTAATCGTTGTGTGAAGGATGATGAAAGTGCCTTACATCTGCTTTGTTACTATCCGAATATGGTAGGCGTCGATTGACTATGCTAAGGGCTTATTTTTTTTAAATCTTGGCCACCATCAACACTTTCCTTTAAAGTACATTTTAGGCATGTTTAAATTATTTAAATCATATTCTCAGCACCACTTCCTTCATGGTAAATGGCTAAAATCTTTATTATTCATTTCTAAGAGGTGATTTAAGTGACTTCAGGTGTTGGTTGGTTGGAGTGGCGGCATTGTATCCCAAAAAGCCCACTTAAGCATAAATAATGGCCAATTGTGGTACCACAGGAGTTACGTTGATTTGTATAAAGATTGTAATCAGTATACATTCAACGTCGAAAGAAAGGTAACGACTCCCCTATTAGGTAAAGGAAAACCAACCTGATCCAACCTGTTTTTGATCTATCTGATCTATCTAGTTTTTGATCACTGTAGTTTTTGATCTATCCAGTTACCGAAAACGAATTGTCGAAATTGATTTCATTTACAAACCATAAGTTCAAATCTTTTGAACCATTTTTTACCCATAGAACAGAGTTCAAAATATTTTTCACAATAATCTAATCACTTTATAACTGGTATAAGATTCTCAATACCATATCCTTCACGGCGAATGACTGGAATCTTCATTATTCATTTCTAAGAAGTAGCTTTAGTAGGTTAAAGTATTACACTGTGGCTTTTAATACTACAACCTATCGTAAAAAATTGCCAAAATTGATTTAATTTACATAACATGAGTTTAAACCATTTCTTACCCAAAGAATGAATTCAAATCACTTTTCACAACAATAAATACAAATTTTTAATGTTAATGTTTTCTTACCGAGAGTTTATGACGATAAGAAACTATTTAAAAATTAGTCGGATTCAAATAGCAAAGAAAAGGCAAGAACAAAAATTTTAATGAATTTATTGAAATTTGACTGACCATAGAACGCTGTAACGAGTATTACTACGGTGGTGATGAATATTTTCTAAGATCACTGATGATGAGTACGCGGCAATACTCGAAACAGCGTTATATGGTCAGCCAAATTTCAATAAATTAACTAAAATATTTGTTCTTGTCTTTTCTTTGGTATTCAAATCCATCTGAATAACAATTTTTTTACACCCTTTCTAAAATACTCCGGATGTAACACCCATTTTTGGACTTAGAAATTATCATTCAGGCGTATTTACTTACATAAATTGAGCCTCATTGGATTGAATTAAATAAACTTATTGATTTACCCAAAAGAGACTTCAGTTAGTAAATTTTTCTGGACGATTTGTAAAACTATATGCTTGAAGGATATTGAAGCTTTGGAAAAATCAAAGTAAACTGTTGAACTTGTTCTAAATATTAATATTAATACTAATAAATACTAACATGATATTAAATTGTAACTAATAATAAAATTTTAAAAAATAACAGAAATACGATTAATTTAAGTATTTAATTTAAAATGATTTTATTCGAGGAATTAGTTTGGCTTAAATCAAAAATAAATTGCGTTCATTTTAAAAAGCGATATATCCTGTTCAATGACGTCTATGTCGGTGAATTCTGATTGGCCAACATATTTGCTGCTTCCCCTAACAAGCATAAAACAGTTGCCTTCTTATTGCCTTATCCCTACAGCGTGACTAAAAGGACATTCCGTATTTCCACCCTTTTGTTGGTTGTACTTATTCCTCAATAGCCAATCGGGATAGCAATTTTAGAACAATAAAAAAATAGGCGATTACGGTCAGAAAGTATAAAAAGGAACATAGCCTCGCGAAGGATTGCAGTTCGTCTCAACAATTTCGCAAATGTGGTCCGTTTTCGTCTGAGTTTTTGAATCGTAGCTTTTGCTATTAAAATTAATGGTTGTGGTTTTTGGTTTAAGATACATTATGAATCTGTAGAAAAAAGATAATTTATCAATAAACAAAATTAAAATAAAATTGTTTAAAATTTCATTATACTTCAGGTAAGTTTTTATTGTAAAATTATTTTTAAATAATTTTAATATAAATATAATATTAATATATAAATATATATATTAAATTATATATATTATATTATATTATATTTAATATATTAATATATAAAGTATCCATCTTTATATTTATTTTTTTTAATATAAATTTATATTTAGCTTTTCTTATAAAGTGCAGTGTTTTATTTATTATGGATTAAGGTCTAAGGGACTAGACCTTAATCCATAAAAAATAAGCCTAGACGATTAGTGCAAAAAATTATGTTGAAATATTTTAATTTTAAGTGAAACACTTTTTT